GTTTTCGCCCGAGTTCATCACGGAAAGTGGTGTTCGACAGGGTTGCCCTCTCTCTCCTTTTCTATTTAACTTTGCTGTAGACCTGATTATGGAAACAGCCCTATCCTCGTACGAGGATAGCGGTGTCCGTGTACTCCCAGATGGCAGACTGTCTAATCTAGAGTATGCAGACGACATTGTGCTACTAAGTGAAGATCCAGGTGAGTTGCAAGCTTTTTTTAGATAGTTTGAGTGCTAGTGTAGCCATGTTCGGTATGCATTTTGCACCTTCAAAGTGTAAAATGTTCCACCAAAATTGGGTTGTTCCAGCCCCTAGCCTCACATTGACTGGGGTAGTAGAAAAAAGTAGACAAGTTTTTTTATCTGGGCACCTATATCTCACCTGGCAGTCGTATCACAGATAAAGTGTCAGTGCCCATAGAGAAGGCTCGGTTGGCATTTGTCAACTTGAGGCGCCGTCGCGAAATCCGGCTGTCTGTTAAGGATCAAGTGTCTCGGGAGAGCAGAGGTGTATGCTACCGAGCGCGCCCCCAGGTTGCAGATAGAGGAATGACCGTCATCTCACGGTTAACCGTGAATAAAATGGGCCTCGGCCCTCCAAATAAGCGGTTGCGGACGATTAGCGGTGGCGCTCTAGGATATGATGTTTTTACTTCTTGGCAAGAGTACTCCGCACAAACACCACACATCTGTGGACAGCCCTGTAACGTAGCAAGTGTGGCCCGCCACCAAATATGGCCATCGCCTCTTGTCGAAATCTGTTGTTCGGCAAGGTTCCAGAAGAGCCGAATGAACCAATACTGGCCATCTGGAATATCGCTGCTGCCTTGCAGTTCGCGCTTGGTTGCGCAAAGGCTAGAGTGCACCCTCAGACAATGCCTACTCTGGGCCGGGCGACCGAGTATTACAACAGCCCACAACGCCAGCAGCGATGATCTCTTCGACTTCTTTATATGTGCATCCAGTCTGCAATTTCTGCAACTAGAGACAGACACTACACCGTACACCCACTCATGTCCCCCCAGCCCTCCCCTATCCCACATCCACCCCCTTAACCCACCCCTTTTCTCGGGATCTTCAGACGATCGTGCAAACACCAGTGCCTCAGATGGAAACTCTGCCGCTGTTCCCTCATGTCCTACCTCGACTACCGTACAAGTTACCTTCACCAGCTGAAGCCCTTCCTCGCCCTCGATGCCCATTCAAACGAGCCACATTTAATGTGCGCACTCTAATGCGTGTAGGACAATAGGCCAGTTTAGCTTGTACGCTCGAGACCCTAACCGTCGATGTGTGTTGTATCCAAGAGACTCACATTCAAAACTCCAGCTCAGTTATCCGATTGACGTCCCCATCAAGCCCATCAGTGAAGTTTCACTTACGCCTCTCTGGGGACCCTGAGATTGCGGCCTCCGGT